ACTCACGAGTAAGCTATTAAATTATGGAAGCTTGCTTATTATGCATTTCTTTGATAAACTTGTATAATAATTCTAAATTATAAAACAACAAAGACCAAGTATTGATATATAAAAAAAATTGGTTAGAGAAGTGCCTGCCATATTAGAATTGTTATGACCTAATGGTAAACCAGTGAACTCTTAAGGAAGCATCTAAATTTTCCCAACTCCTTGTATCTGAACAGAGTATTAATCACACAGATGTCAAATGGCTGATCTGATCCGGTCAATAGTATAGCCAAAATAATCGGGTTGAGTACTTATGGTTATTTCCATCACAAAATTGGTCACTGGTTAATTCGATTAATATATTGGATGTTCTAAAACTAGTAGTTGGTATAGTAAGTACCTTTTCTATACAAAAAAAAAAAAAAAACAGAAGTTATATTTGCTATGGAAAATAGAGTACATAAGATATATTCTGAACTTCAGGGATTAAAAAATCTACTGGTGAGACAAAGCATAAAATGTTGAAAGTGAAATAACATTACATTCAAATATGTAAGAGATACTGAAGTACAATGTAGGGTACTGTACACATTAAATGAGGAATAGAGACTCCTGATAGATCATGTGGAACCCATTCCCATAAGTTTTCCTATCCCCAGAAGGCTTCTGGAAAATTCCTCTCAGAGAACATATCTGAATGCAAGTGAATAAGATGGACATTGTAAGAATTGTCTAAATCCACTAAAATTTATTGACTAAAACATTAGCATCATGATTCTCATTAGTAAGACATTACTCTTGTGATAGATTTCAAACTAATAATGAGCTATTTGTTCTTTTCAAAGTCATAATAATAATAATTACTACTGATCTGTACTGTCTGAAAAGGTAGCCACGAACCACATACCTCTGTTGAGCATTTGAAATGTGGATACTCCAAATTAAGATGTGTAAAATACATAGTGGTTTTTGAAGTCTTAATAGGAGAAAGTGAATGTAAAGTATCTTCTTAATTTTATTTCAATTATAGGCTTATATGATATTTGGGGAAATTAGGTAAATAAAATATATTATTACAGTTAATTTCATCTGTTTCTTTTTACTTTTTAGTATGGCATCTAGAATATTTAAAATTATATATATGACTTGCATTATATTTCTATTTAGCTGCATTGCTACAGACAAAACCCTTTGAATTCAGAGAAGAGAATTCACTATAAGATGATAAAATTTTAGGGAAGTATTCATGTGAAAAGTGTCTTATTCCTAACATATCCTAATACATCATCATTCTGCCTCTGCTTGTATATTTTCAGCAATGGGAAACTCACTATTTTAAAATTAGTGCTTTTAAGAAAGAAAAAAAATATGGCACTAATCAGTTGTTCCTGTATTAAACTAAAATTGAGGCTCCAAGTAATTTCTACCCATTGATTCAAGTTATTCACTTTGGAACCACACAGAATAATTCAAATCCCTAATCTGTATAATGGCCTCTTAAACAAATGCAGAGTAATCCTTGATCAGGAAATCCAGACCCTACATATACTACTAATAAAAATCTAAGTTTGCATTATCTTGCTTGATTAATTAGTAAATCATTTTGTAGTAGTATTTCCTAAAAGCTATTTGTATCTGCTTATATTGTTCTTGTACTTTGTGGTATCACTGTTGCTAGCATTTGGCCAATCAGGTCTTTTCAATTTTATACAACAAAAATTGGGTTATTTAAAATTCTAGACCATTCAAGAGTTCCTTGAAATGTTTATTCTACTACCCCATGATTAGTCATTCATTTACTTAGTTTGTCGGGCAATATTCATTTATGAGTGCCTACTATGTACCAAGAATGACTCCAGGTTGAACAAGACTTGATAAATACCTTACCTTCATGGGGTGTTCATGGAACTCATCCTTCTCATTGCATGTCTTTTTGCATGCTTTTTGTGTCTCCAAATATTTCCTGATGAAAATACTGCACAGAGCAGAACAAATACAAAGCCCTTTGGCATCTTCTTTGAAACTACCCTCTGCATTAATACAGATTAATTAATCAACCAGTTTTGTTGTTCAGAATGACACAGTGTTACCAAACTGAGTCTCAGTTTCTCCATGCTCACCTTTGGAATTTAATGATTTTGTCAGTTACCTTGGTAAAATAGAAATGCTCTGTCAACAAGCATTTATTTTATCCTTCATAAACCATATGTTTTCAAAAGAGGATCTTTTAACGGAGTCAATGGATGGGTACGATTTTGAGAGGAGACCGAGTCAATACTTGTCGAGCATTTATCGTATGTCATATGGATACATAGGATTTGGGGAGAAAATGATAACCCATATTTATTGAGCATTTATTGTGTCTCAGACAGCATTCTAACTACATTTGATCCTCATAACAACCCTATGAGGTAGATATCCTTCTTATCTTCATGTTACAAATAAAGAAACTGGAGCTCAAGGAGGACACATAACTTGTCCAAGGTCCCCCAGCTACTAAATGGTGGAGCCCAGATTCAGTCTTGGCATTCTCATGCAGGAGCATAGGCTCTTCACCAGAAGATTAAAAAAAAAAAAAACATTCTAAGGGCCAAGAAGTAGGGAAGTACCCAGAGTTCACCAATAGGCCTGTAAGAAAGCTTGATATTAAGAGCACTTAAATAAGGCTAGAAAGGTCCTTGGGGCAATATTAGGGGAAGTCTTGACTATCATGCTGGAGTTTAGACTTCATTCTACTTACACTTCTTGAATAGAGAAATAACTTAATGAAAGCCATGTTTTTGGAATATATTGAACTGATCACAGTGCACAGGATGGAACTGGTCATGTGAGAAGGAGATTATACCCCTGTAAGGAGGTTATTGCCTTAACTCCTGTGTAAGGACTACAAGAGATGATATCTCTGGGAATAGAAAGCAAGTAGATCATGGTGAATGAATTCACAATTATTTGATTTGATTAGATATTAGAGTGAAGTGTTGAAAAATAACATGACTCACACTTTAAGCCTAGATGACTGAGGAACAAAAAGGTCTTCTATTTACAGAACTAGGGAAGTTGGTGTTGCAAGCAGCTTGGGGGGAAAGATAATGAGCTCATTTCTAGACATGTTGAACTCTAAGTGAGAAATCGGCTGGCTATTGGAAAGTCTATGTTGAATTCAAAAATTCAGCTTAAGATGAATATCTGGGAGATACTGTGAAAGCTATAGTTAAATTTGGGAAGATAATACAATGCATTAGGCAAGGAGTATTGATAAAGATGCTTGGAGGCCCAAGTTCTGAGCCTTTGAAACTACACCCTGTATTTGATTATGGGGAGAGAGGGTGAGCTAGAGAGGTAGCATGTGTAGAAGTAAAATAGATAAGTATGTCTGCAAATGGACCCATGTTATTTTGACACCCAAGCACTCAATAAAAGTTATTTTAAAAATACCTATTGTTGTATTTTCACATAATTATGTAGAACAATGCAGTTGCTCTAATTAAATATTAGCAAATGTGAACAATTCAATAACACAAAATAGTATCAAATTAAGATTGTTTAGTTATGATTCGAAAAGTTTTTCATCTTTTTGCATTTATAATACTTTGAGAAATATGTTTTAAAAGTGTAGAGGTATGTTTATAATATAGCGGTGGAAACATCCCTTAAGCATATTTACAATACTCCCATTCTGTACTGGTTCAAGAACCAACTATGACATTTCAAATTGCAAATGTTCATTAGGATTTAAAAATAATACTGAAAATAAGTCACTTTTTAAAAAAGAGCCCATAAATCCTTTCTGGTGTGTGTAAAAGTGCCTGACAGATAAGTGTCTATTTGCGTTGTGTGTGCGAATCACATTCTCGTTAATATCATTTGATTATTCACTTTTTCATGAGTAGATATTTGGTTTTTCCTTGAACACTTATCTTTATTGTCCTCTAGGAGATGCTGTTTAATAAAGAAAGAGTAAGATTATGACTGGGAATGTGATGGGGAACAGTAGGTAGGGACCAGACTTGATGCATGCCGTCGTCCTGGCATAAAACACCAGGGGTCGTTCCTGAATTGGTTTTACAAATGGGCAAATGTTTAGCTCTGTAAGAAAATAAGATTTCTATATGTCATCTATGAGTTTTCAGAAGCTATCAGGTATAAAATATTTTTTAGTGTTTTAATGCAAAGAAATTGAATACAGGGTAAAGATCAATAGCATATTTATTTTATTAACTGTTTGAACTTTGATAATTAAATCTTGCCTACTCTTTTGAATATATATTTAATTTCCAATGTATTTTTAATCATCACTCCTCTTCAAGTGGTTTCTTTAGAAAAAAGGGGCTTTAAAGTTTTTTGAGACTGGTCAATATGAATTTCAAAATCAAAGAAACTGTGATGTTTGTAAAATTGAAAAATATATATTCAGATTTTTTATGTGAAATATTCTGGGTTCATTCATTTGAATTTTTTGTGCTACCAAAGAAAGTATTCCTAAGGCAAGCTCATGGCATTGCTTGTCTTATGAGAGCGTGCCTGTCAAATTTTCCATGCTAAAAATGTCATTTAAAATATTGGAGCAGATTGCCATGTAGTTTTTCTGAGGGTAAGGAGACAATTCTGCTTTTCTACCTGAGGTTACTGTTACTTGTGAATGAGGCAATTTCTGATAAGACATATTTACACAAATGGTATTTATATCAGAATATTTTAAATAAGATCAAATTCAACTTTAGAATATGAACAATTAGCTCAAATATATGGAAATGAACTTTTGTTGAAAAAAGAGAATGACAAATTGCATTATCTTGCATATATGTTCAGCTCTGATGATGTTAAATGTTTGTCTTTATTTGCATCCTCAGGTACTTTCCCAGTTGTATTTCAAAGCCTTCATAAAATATAATATGGAAACATAATGCATGTCATTATTTTAGCAACAGGAGGTTGAACAAATGTAATTTGGGGGGGTTATGTTTCTAATAAAAAGTAATTTTGATTTAAATTAGCACTATCTTTTTTTTTAGGCCTCCATTCCTTTGAAGGAATTGGAGCAGTTTAACTCAGATATACAAAAATTGCTTGAACCACTGGAGGCTGAAATTCAGCAGGGGGTGAATCTGAAAGAGGAAGACTTCAATAAAGATATGGTAAATTGGTTGTGATAAAAGTATGAATGACCTAGGAGGGGAAATGAATAAATATTTGAAAATAAATTAGATAACTCAAGTCTCCAACTAAGTTCTTGGGACATACCTTGCACATTTTGTGATTCTAATGATTTATTACAAATGCAAAGTATTCTGGTTGAATGTTTATTATGAATGCCAGATTACTGTGGTATGGTCACATAGGAGCACTTGTAGATCCTAATAAGTAGTTCCACAGTTTTGCTTTGACCTGTACTATTTTCAAACTCAGAGGACAAAATGTAATGGAGGGAAAAGAGTTAAATTAGAAAATAAATTGGAAACTTAATAAGAAACTCAGCCATCAAGGATGGATGGTGTTTTGTGTCAGTCATGATTTTGGTAATATAACGTTTATTTCAGAGGGAGGGTATTAGACACAATATAAAAATTATTTATTAAAGTTTACCACAAAGTGGTTTTCACAAAAAGTTGATGAAATAGTACAATAGATGTCTAAAATATGTATAAATTCATGCTGCTTATTTCATGGGAGTAAAGAAATCTAACCATGTGGGCTGTTCCCAAACTCATAACATTCTCCTTCAACCCTGATTAATTTCAAAATGTCTATTACATTTCTCTCTGGCTTGAATATTTCTGCATCACACCTCTTTTCACTGACTTTTTTCTCCTTCCACATCCTTGTCACAATTTCCTTTTCCCTCTTCCACAGCCATCATCAATATGGCATTCTTAACTTCTACATATATCATGCTTGAGATTTCTCAGACATGTATCAATGTTAGGAACTTCTCAGACAATGCTTTAAAATGACATTAAAAGGCAATATATGAATTTTAGATAGTAGGCATGTGAAGCAATAGGAAAACTATTTTCCACCAATCTTAGTTCGCACTGGTATCAATTCTGAATTCCTAGAGCTGCCTGAATCAGTCGGTACTCCCCATGTATGGGGTTTGGTGGCTTTGCCAACTCAGCTCAACAAAAGAAAGCCAAGAAGAGGCTTTCCAAGATGCTGAGGTACAGCTACCTCTCCTTCGTGTCAAAGAAGAAACCAGAGGGCGCTGAGGTGAAAAAGAAAGAGTACTGTTTACCTCGGGCTGTTCACCAACTCTGCCCTATGGCTAGCCCTTACCTGCTATGGGAGAAGAAGTGAAGCAGGTTTTTGTTGTTGTTGTTGTTTATTTTTTGTCCTCAGCCCCAGCAAAGGAAAGACTAAAAGGGAAAGACTTTTTAAAATAAATAAGGTCTTTCACAGATTATAAACATATGCCCATGTTATTTTATTACACTAGTAATTGACAAATCTCAGATAAAATGCCATTCCTCTGAAAAAATAAATAATTCTTCAGTTGTGTATAGCAGTTTAAATATGCACTGCAGATTTAGATAGGTAGCATTTGAGTACTATGGATGATTACACACAAATACACATACATGTGACTTTAAAAAATTGTCTAATATTTGTTGTTCTTAGCTCATTAGAGTACCTTGAGTACCACTGCAGGGTGAACCTCCTCAAAAGGAAGTTTTCATATACTGAGTTGAAAGAAAGATAGGAAACTAGAAGTGAAAAATCAAATGGTCATATATGCTACCATATTAGACTGGCACTTATTCAAATAGTTTTCTTTCAAAGTAAATGAAAATATTATTCTTGGAGTTTAAAAACTAAATGCATACCAAAAATAATTTTCAAGGAATTTTCCTAATCTCTATTTTAATACTTACTGGATTGCATTTATTTAAAAATAACATGCATATCTGATGTATTTTTAGAAACTAGTTGCAATATTCAGCAGCGATTGAACACATCATTTTTTAATAATGCCCTAATATTTGTGCTAAATTTGGACATACAGGTTATTTAAAGTAGGTGACTAGAAATTAGTGTACATTTAAAATATGTTCACTTAGGAGTGAGTGTGTTAAAATGTTAAGAATCGTTGCCATCTGACATGCATCCACATCCATGTTTTACATGGGTTAGGTTACATTATAGATGACACGTTTAGTTCACTTCTCCAAACTAATTTCAGGAAATCTACCAAAAATCAAAGCCAGAAGAATGCTCCACACCAATTGGTACCTTGTCTGAAATGACAAAGTACCTTACAACCTTATCTTCCTACAAATGCCCCCCATCAGGTGTATCCTTTTGAACTGGTAGGCGTCCTTCCTAGATCCTTCTTTTCAAAGCTCAAGTAAACCATATAAAAGCAAAACTATGAGCATAGTATCTTAGAATAACTTTCCTGGAAAGTCTTAAATTGGATTTTTGTGTGTGTTTAAATAACATTTTTTATTATCTCTTTTTAACGATGTACAGCTTTTTAAAAACCAAAATGAAGACTGTACTTGTTGTTTTTAATCAGAGTGAAGACAATGAGGGTACTGTAAAAGAATTGTTGCAAAGAGGAGACAACTTACAACAAAGAATCACAGATGAGAGAAAGCGAGAGGAAATAAAGATAAAACAACAGCTGTTACAGACAAAACATAATGCTCTCAAGGTATTAGAGCTAAAATTATAATATACCTTGCCTGTGGTTTTTTTTTTCATATGTAGGGTAAACTATATTGTGCATAAATAAAATCTGCTTAAGAGTCTTAGTCACCAGAAAATACATTTTTTTTCCTGTTCAGTGTGTGTGCTTTATTTAACATTTTTGAGTGGTGTCTTTGATTTTGAAAGAAGTGTTGCTTAAAAAATTGTTTTGTTTTGTTTTTTTTGGCTGAGACAAGTTTTTCTGAGTAGTGCTTGGAAAATATTATAATGCATTATTCATTGTGTTTATACATTTAATTTTCTGATATAGTTATTTTTACATTACTTTTACGTCTGTCTTGAATGACCTGCTTAACCGCCAGAATAACCAATTCATATTTTTGTGGGTTTTCTGCTGCCTATATTTTATTGATTTTATCTAAAGTAGGTCCAGTTCTGGTAATCTAATATTTGTTTAATAAGGCCTGGGATTCTACTTAATTTTTTTTTCAATTAACTTCATTTTGCCTTTAAGAGAGTCACTCGTTGCAACTAACTAAGTGTCTAGAGAGTCTAATTTCATTTACAAAGGAATCCTCAAAAATAATGTCCTTGAAGAAGAACTGGCACTCTCGTATGAACCAGTGGTAGTGTATAGCCTCAAGCACCCATGTGACTCATCTGGATGTGTGCAGAAAGGACAGAATAGTGTTGGTTTTTCTATAATAATATTTAGGAAGTTCTTGACACTGGACTTGTGAAGAGTTTTGTGAAATAACCTTTTATTTTTTTAATGTGCTTTTCAATATCCCCTATTGGCATGCATGGCTGATTTTCTAATACTGTTAATTGCCAAACTTTTCATTGTAAATCACTCTCGTAGAGCTATGTAGTTATGCGGGTAGATCCACCTAGTAGGTGGATGAAGTCTGCTTTCTGTATGCAAATAAGAGTATAAAACCTTTCCCCATATAGTCAGACAACCAAATAAACACTGCTGAGAATGTAATTACACAATATTGTGCCTGCAAGGAATCCACAAGGAAAGTCTAATTGGCCAGCAGGTGTTCTGAAGGTAACTGCTGATAAATATAGTAAATAGAAAAGGCCTCTTTCTTGAGGGAGTGTAAGAGCAAGCCATAATGTGCTTTGAAAATCAGAAAGCTCTGTAATTCACACACTTCCAACTGTGACCAGGCTTTCCAAAGCATCAATAGTGGTCATATGATGATATGTGTCCTACTGCACAGCAGTGTTTAATGGTTATCTGGCATATCTCTAAAGAAATCTATATAATGTCTCTAAATATCTTTACACATTACGCATCACCTTGTGCTTAGGGAATGAAAGGAGTTTGAGATTTTATGACCACAAGCCCTTTCTCTTGGTGAAGATGTGAGTTGTGTCACGAATAAGACATGGCTCAGCGCTCATTCACGTGGCTTTATCCTGGTACCTTTGAAAAAAGCAGCATTCCATCTGGCTCATCCCAGGAATTTATTACCTCCACAGGAGGTTTAGAAATTCAACTAAAAATGTAAACTGCAGTGAATTTTACATCCTCAATTTTGAACAAAATGAGAATGAAATTTAGATCATTCTTGCAAATAAATGTTAAAAGTGATTATGAAAATCTGCTTCACTTGCCAAACTAATCTACACCACCAAATTCAGTAACTATATTAACCTGCCAAGTGGCTCCAGTTCTAGTCCTTATGAAATATTTCAAAGAAGGTCAGAACTTTTCCAAAGCAATGAATATTTCAGCAGTTCTTTGATTTTCCTTATTTTCTTTTGCTCCAGTTAAATCTGTACGTGAAACCCTAATTACTAATGTTCTGAAGAAATGAAAGCTGTATTCTGAACTCTTACGTTCCCTTGTGTTATCATAAAATGGCATTACAACAAATTCTATTGATCGGGGAAGACATTGGGTGTGCTTGTAAGGAGCAAGATGATAAATTGCCCCCCTTTGTTGATTTATTAAGCAGTTGCCCTTATTTATTTCATCATGTTGATTGGAAACCATGCACTTCCCTTTTCTTTTTAAGCTAATTCATCATTTTGCATTTGGAACATGATTTGATATAATAAGAAAAAGTTGGCCATGGAAGCCTGAAAAGAAAGAGCATTTTTATAATAGTTGTCATTTTCATGTACACTCATAGATATGTATCTTTCACACTTCTATGTATATAGCTCAAAACAATTTATATGGTAACTAGGATGATTTCATGTTTCTAATCACAAAATATTCATGGCCAATGAAAATTTTTATGAGGACTGCTAAAACCATGAATGTAGTTGCTTCGCTATGTAAACTTAAAATTTTGTTGATGAACCCAGGGCTGAAGATACAAATTTTAGAATCTGTATCTATTTTAAAAGTCAAATACAAATTCATTAAATTTGTGCAAGTGTCTGGTTAATACAGGTGTATTCATCTACTAAACTATTTCACATAGACTACACGATAATTTAGTTGACTCATTTAGTCAATTAAATAAGACAAGATTTCTGAACAACTATGCACATGTCAGGAGAAAATACTTTAAGTGGGTTGTTCAGTTTCCCTTAGCTTTGTGTGAATAGGTCCTGCCACAAAAATACCTAATTTCATCATCTCTTTGTATATTCAGCATTTAAATGTGAATTTAAGTGAAGCTGTACAAGAAGATGAGGGGTTCATTATTTGTAAATAACTACAGCCAGAAGTGTACTATACATATATATTGATATTTTAATAATATCTGCACCATGAACAGGATTTGAGGTCTCAAAGAAGAAAAAAGGCTCTAGAAATTTCTCACCAGTGGTATCAGTACAAGAGGCAGGCTGATGATCTCCTGAAATGCTTGGATGACATTGAAAAAAAGTTAGCCAGCCTACCTGAACCCAGAGATGAAAGGAAAATAAAGGTAATGTTGTTTTAGAATGTCAATACTAGATTTTATTGCTACAATTTAATTTCTTTATCTTAACATGTGTGGATCGTATTTAAAATCATTGATGTTGTTTCCTCTCTTAGTGTTCTCTCTGATTTGCTGCATTTCCTTGTATTGTGTTTTGTTTTGGTAAATGTATTGTATTAAGTGTTTTTTAAATTGACATAATGTGAAATGAATAAAATGTTTTATCTCTAGACAATGTAAAATGAATTAAGAAATGTCGTATGGTTTCTGGTAAACTTGTAATTGACTTTGTGTATCTTTGTTCCAGATGAACAAATGATTTATCGGTATATGGACGACTTCTTTCTCATGTTAGCACATTCATTTCATCAGAGCATCTTCACACATCAGTGTCAAATCTCTATAGATTGATTTGCATATTGTCCGAAGATGTTTTTTTTCTGTTATTATTTCACACTTTTTATTTTGCTTCGTTCTCTGTTGAGCTCCTCAGAACTTTAAAAAAGAAAATAAATAAGCACTGACCCTCTAAATTATATTCTATGTGGATGGTCCCTAAGAAATAATGAGTAGGCACTCCAATTTGGGTTAGCCCCCAAAACACCAGAGGAATTGAGAAGAAAGGAAAATGTTAGATGAATTTAAATATTTTACTAATTAGCATATCTAAAACTGAGCATTCGAAGGATAACTGAAATAACATTTGGATCCTTGGGGGAAGATGACAGTGATGGCTTCCATAGTTGTAAATCACGGAACATGACAATAAAATGACAACAGCCTTTGAAATTTCTGAGAGAAGTGTGTGCTGCTTGCGGGTTGGTTGATGTGGTTAGCTAACTGCCCTGGGCCCTGTATTGGTTTTGCTCAATAGGAAATTGACCGTGAATTGCAGAAGAAGAAAGAGGAGCTGAATGTGGTGCGCAGGCAAGCTGAGGGCTTGTCTGAGGATGGGGCCGCAATGGCAGTGGAGCCAACTCAGATCCAGCTCAGCAAGCGCTGGCGGGAAATTGAGAGCAAATTTGCTCAGTTTCGAAGACTCAACTTTGCACAAATTGTGAGTTGTTACTGGCAAACCCACGTATGTGTTTGCAACTGCTACCCTAATAACAGAGGCCTACTAACAAACGGAAAAAAAAAAAAAAAAAAAACTGGGTGCAATTTCAGACTTCTAATATGCGTTCTGAAAGTGAGCAGTTTCCCCTCACCTCGGGCTCCTGCAACGCTAGTGATTAGTTTTTCAGATTAAGAACACAATAAATCAACTCACAAAGGGAACAGGCCCTTTATCACAAACGAAAACTGCATCTTAATTTGTTTTGCCACATCATTTTTTCCATAACATTGGCAATGTCAATTTGTCAATGGATCATACATTTACATTATTTCAGTGTGTAATCCAAAAATACGTATTGCTTTCCTGAGACCATCCCATGCCAATTTTACTTTCTTAATGTATACATGGTAAATAATAAATCTTTGGTGAGACATCTTCTTATAGCAACTTGCATAAGGACCTTATCTCATTGACTTAGAAGAATAGTAGTTTAGTCCTCGTATCTGGCTTAACTACTTAATGGATTAAAAGGCTTTTCAGAAGTGAATGCCTAGTAAGATGGTTTATAAATGATAGCAGATTGGAAAATATCAGATATTGTGACCACTGAAATATTACAAGCCAAAGGGAAAAGGAACAACTGTTCTTTCAAACAACTGGATGGATATTTGGTGATTTTCTCCTTAAAAAGGCAATTCATACGCATAAGTTGGGTCTTCACTATTTGTAATAGGGTATAAACTGTAGGATTTTTTCTAACAAATACATTTTTTGTTCCTATTCTGAGATACCATAAAGTGAAGAGGAATGCTTGCTGCTATGTAATCATGCAAAAATAGTGCTTCCCACAAAACAAATGTGTTAAGGCTGGGAAATAAGGATTTCTTCATGTGTTAGGTTGAAACCAATAGATATGCAATCATTTTCAACCTATGTAAAGGATAATTTCATTTGTTTCAACCTTCAGATGAGACTTTGTGGAATTTGTTATGTGATACTGTTGATTCCATTTAATATGGGTATTTTAAAAATATGCCTTAGACAGCATAGCTTTATTTTTTAAGCATGTAATTTTGTTAATGCTGCTTATCAACCAAGGAAAAATATACTACATGTCACTTCTTTTACAAAACATTACAAAAATCCATGAATACACTGTTTTTGATGAAATCCAGGACCCTAAGATTTAATAGCAGCTGAATATTTGAGAAGTTGGAAGAAGTAATATAATATATTGAGACTATATTACATTTGAAATCCTATTCCAGCTGATTGCACATTTTAGCCTATTATCCTTCCTATTAGATGTTATGAACATAATATGTCATAAATCACCAAAGCTTACACTAACAGAAAGCCTGTGTCTGTGAATACAAAATGAATTGAAAGATTAAGGCAACCATAAAGAAAATACAAGTAAAATATTTTCAATGAATTTAATAGATCATTCAAGGAGAAGTCCCTTGCTTTGATTTATCTCACTACTAACTAATTTCTCCTTTCCAATTTTCCCCATATCTTGACACATCCTATATGCAGAATTAGATTTTTTTACAACCTGGTCAAGGTAAGTTATTAATTTTTTATAGTTAAATGGACACAGGATCAAAAATCTCCACAAACCACCCACTTAAAATGTCATTACGTCCTTATTCATAAAGGGCTCTCAACACATATTTGTAAAACATAATGATGATTGGTAAAATAAACCAAGGACATGTAAACCATCATAAAATTTTAAAAGTCATAATAAAATGCTAAGATGTATTTTCCCCATAAACTGTTTCTTCTTGATTTTGTGACTGAGAGAACCAAAATTCAGAAGGTGCCTGGAGTGGGGAATATAGTTTTTGAATATTTATTTATTTGAAAAAAAGCGAGAGAGAGGGTGTGTGTGAGCATGAGCAGAGGGATGGGCAGAGGAAGAAGGAGAGGGAGAAGCAGGACCCCGAGATCATGACCTGAGCCAAAGGCAGACGCTTAACCAACTGAGCCACCCAGGCGCCCCGGGAATATATTTTTATGTAAACTCTGGGTATCCGTGCTAACAGAAGTAATAATAATATGTATGAAGAACAATCAATTTAATATTACAATTATATTTGGCTTTGAATTTTAATTAGGCATAAAAGATGAGAGATAGATAGACAGATCCAAGATGTATCTTTTTATTCCACTGATTACTAATCTATATTGAAAAACTGATTTCACATGTCCACCAACCTGGTTAGAGTCATCTTTCCCAATTATCATACAATGAAGCCTTTTGAGATTAGCCACAAGTGAACAACTTAACCAAAAGTTATGTTTGGAATAATCCTACAGTGGCTCTGATGCAGCACAGGTCATCATAACTTCAGTATTCTTTACCTCCCCCTGGCTCCCCTTCTCTATTTGTCTCATCTTTCATTCTCCCAATTTTCCCTTTCTCTTCTCTCTAGATGTAAATTCTAGACTTCGTTTGGACTTACTGATTTTCAGTTAGTCTTTCATATCTTAGGAGTAACAATTCAAGATTGCAGGGAGTACTCTAAAGTGCTTAACATTGGTGAGTTGCGTTTAAAATGAGAAATTAATATTCCTTGTTTCAGAGATAAAAGTTTAAAAATGGACTAAGCGGTGTAAAATTTGTGCACTTCAGGGACTATGTCCATGTCAGAGCTATATATGGCAATTATGAAGCTCAGACAAGGTCTGGAACTTTGAGGGAGCCATGTGGCAGCCCTGGGCCAGACAAGAGTGCAGACCAAAGCAGAGTAGCAAGTTATCTCCAAACGATAGTCCTCAGGACAGTCCTAGAGACCACAAAGAAGGGAAACAGATTGGGAGGAAGCAGGTAAATTTTTCTCTAAGTATTCAGGAGGTTGAAGCCCCTGCCCTAGTTAGGAATAGAAGACAGTTCTAATTATACTTCCTGTTGACTTGCAGACCTTGCTGATCAGTGAAGACCAAGCAATGATTGTAAACTGAACATGAGGAATTTTTCTGCAGGATGTTTTATAACACCTGTGTGGTCTAGTAAAAAGGCCATTCCCTGGGATGAACAGTCTAGAATATGAATCCCACTCTGTCTTCTAGCTGTATGCTCAGGGGTAAATAAATATCTCTCAGCCTGATTTCCCTCATCTGTATAAGAGGAATATGGACTTTTGTGATAACAAAATATAGTAACATTTATAAAACACCTGCTGTATTATAGGAGCTCAATGAATCAAATTTTTTTTCTTCTTCCTTCTGTATGTAACACTGGAAAAGATACATTATTTTTAAATTTTATGTCTTTATAGACTGTTAAGAGGATTATGTTCAGCATGTACCATAGATTTATAATGTTATTAACAACAGGTAGATATATTTTTTTGATGTAGATTACAAATTAGATTCCCTTATCCTTGAACACGTAATTGTATCTAGAGTCGCAAAGCATTTGCAGGAAGTTTCGTACAAAGCTGGTGATTCTACTGATGAAGGCATACTTCCTCATGAACATGTCAGGAGTTCTCTATCTAAATTCTTATCTCCTACAGAAAAGTAGAGAAAGAGATAAGAAAAAAACCAAAGGCTTTGAAAGTTTCTTAATAGAAAATTACATGTAATTTTTATTAAGCATAATTGTAGCATTTGAAAGTTAATCTCCCAGAGCTCAAGAAAATGCAGCCAAAAAATTACACAAAGAAAGTACCACCACAATCCAGGAACTCCTAAGCAAAATAAGCTCACAGACTAAAATTACAATGGATATAAAAAATTCTTTTCATAGATGATGATAACAGATGCCAAAAAATAAAAGGGGTATGCACGTCTGAGGAAATTAAAGATAAGAGAACAATCAGCAAAGGACATTAAAATAAGCGTTTAAATTTTTTTTAAGTAATTGGGGTTTTTTTAATGTTCAAAAAGATTTTTAAAGAGGATGTAATGGAATTCCTACAATAAAAATAGGCCATTTTGAGTAGTGAACAGGAAGATTTGAAAAAATAAAAAGTCTAGAGATTAAAATATAATTATTAAAATAATAACTCAGACGGCTTTTTAAATAGTTGATTCATCATAGAAGAAAAATGAATATATTCACTGAAGGATATTGAGGATAATTTTGCTTTGCTGAAAATACTGGAATATGTAGAGAATGGAATAAAAAGCTCATATATATGCATGAAAAGAGTTCCAGATTGGAAAAGTGGAGAGCCTGGGGAAGAGACAATATTTTATATAAATGACTGACATTTAACAAAATTGAATAAATCTCAGTTTACAAGAGTCCTCAAGTTGAGTAAAGCTCAATTTAAATGAGTCCTCAGGTTGAATAAAGCTCAACTAGACTGGAATAAATAAAAACAAGTCACACCTAGGTAGGTTTGAATGAAACTCAGAACATCAGTGATCAGGAAGGTATCATAAAAGCTACTGAGGACCAAGAACAGAATACCTACAGGGTGACAAAGTTGACAGTAGACTTTTCATCAATAATAGATATTAGAAGACAATGGAATAACATCTTCAGTATGCTCGGCAAATTTTCAAATGTCCTGTAAACTGTGATTCAAAAGTGAAGACAAAATATTTTCAGACATACAAGTATTTTCAGATAAACAAACTGTGAGAATTTATTACCTATATATTCTTGCTGAATTAATAAACAATATGCTAGTGTACAAAAAGGAAAATGAAGCCAGAAAGAAGGAGCAAGCTATATAAAGCTATCTAGAATTCTATATATAAGGAAGGAATTTTTTTTTTTAATCTTGTATTCAGCCATTAAAAGTGTAGCAAGTGCTGCAAAGGAAAACAGAAAGCTATGAGAATGTAGAAGTGATTTGACTCAACTTAAAGAATACTCTAAGAGGCTCAATGTAGAGAGTCACAACAAATATAAGCTTTGTGCCTAATGTGTTCAGTATGAATTATTGCTAATTATTATGTTTCTTGGAAGCAAAAAAAAAAAAAAAAGTAACCCTTTGGAATAGGCATACATACATGACCTGTCCCAGGAATGGGAG